AGGATATATATAAATATATATATATATATATAGTGTTCAAGTTATAATGTGAAATATCTTCCAGTTCAGTGCAAACATTTATATTGAATTCCTCCTAAACGACCATGCTGTCATAGGTTTTTTTGGTTTGATTTTTTTTTGGTGGGGGAGAGGAGTTGTAGGATTTTTTGGGGGGTGTTTACTTTTTTTTTTTTTATATAAACCAACATTCTGCTTGAAAAAACAGCCACAAGACACACCTGGACCAACTCCAGCCACAGCACAGGCTGTGCTGGTGAATCCTATGAAACCGCTGTATTTTCAGTGAGTTGTTTGTAACGATTCTCTCTTCTCTGAGCAACAGTGATGAAAAGCTCAGACGTACCTTAGCTCTAGCACAGGAATGAGCAAAGATACTGTCAGGCACAGATCCACCCAGTACTTGGTACTGAGTGCTATAATACAACTTAAGTCTTTCTAGCACTAATCTATTAAAAATAGAGTGTGTTTACTTTTGGGAACCACTGAGTCGCATTCTTTCCAGGTGCGTAATGCAAACACAGCCAAACAGCAGGTTTCATGCTTCTGCCTCTGATAATGCCACCTCCATGCTCATTAAAGGCAGCTAATTACAGTGCTGAGAAAAGTGAGCTCTAAGACACAGAATGCAGGTTTTCAGGCAGCTAATGAAGCCCACAGTTAAGGGCTACCTCCATTTTCCTATTCTAACCTTTGCTAAGGGAAATGTCCTCAAATTCTCTCACTGATCTTTTCTCCCGTTATTTTGGGGCTTAGGGGTGCAAACTGAACTCCACATCCCGCTAGTGCTTGCTAAATAGAAACTCCACGTTGCAATCCATAACTTTGACCGTTTGCAACTCATTCGTATCTGGGCTCAGTATCAGACCCTGGGATGAAAAGGAAAGAAGTTACGCTGCTGCCGTGGAGGGAAAACAGCCTGTTCAGCAGCAACCCAGGGCGAGTGTGTCTGCAAGGGACCCCACTGCCCGACCCCGGACAGCGCCGACAGCTCAGAGCAACAGCAGCAGCAGGGACTCACTTTCTTCCTGCTTCGTGATGGGACTGTGGTAGATCTGAAAAGGGCAGGGAAAGGAGGAGGAACAAACAAAAACATAATGCAATGGGATTTAACATTTCAGAAGAAAATGCAGCACCCCATAGATCATCCAAAGCCAATCGCAAACAATCTCCCACACAAATGTCACTTTATAATTAAGCAAGATACCGTTATCTACACAATAAATGAGTTTTGCCGACTTCCTACATTTCACTGGAGCACCTATTTCTAGGAAACAAGTCTCCCAAAAACTGAACACGAAACTTTGTCTCTGAATAAAACATTTGGTAGAACACAGGAGCCGGTGCTTTGCCAGCAGGCACGGGAAGGCGGGCGAGCACTGGTGCGGGGGGGCTGCTCCCATGGGCCAGACTTTCCAACCGCTGCTCAGAGCTGGGACAGGCAAAAGATCCCCTCTCGCGGGGTGGAAAGTGAGTTGGGAGCAACACAAATACGGGGTGTTCCAGATGCAGTAAGTCCCTAGGTGGTCTGGCACAACCGGGGATGTACCAGGGCTTTAAAGGGGGAAACCCAAACTCCCCGTCACAAGCTGTGCCACGAGCAGAAGGGAACGAAATCCCATTTCGGGTGTGCAGCAGCTGAACCGATGCCTGAATGACAGGTGAGCAACAGCAGGGAGGTGACATCAGAAAGGAGCTGTCTGTGTCCCCGCTCGTCCCCAGGACCCGCCGGCAGAGGACACTGCGCGGCAGCGGATTCACGGCCGAGCAGCAGCTCTCCAAACACTCACCGGCTCCTTCCCATCCATGGCCTCCATCCACAGCCTGCGATTGGCTTCTGACAGCGCCTGCAGCGTGATGGTCCCCGACCTGCACAGGGTTCACCCGGGACAGGCAGGAAAATGAAGCAAAAGTTGTTTAATAAACACCAAAGAGCGATTTCATGCAGGCTTGGAGGCTGTCTGAATACCAAGCGTCTCACCTTTCATTAGTTTCAATGTCAAAACAAAACCTCTTGTCTATCGAGTCGGTCTTTCTCCTTACGCAGGATTTCAGAGTCAGGTCTAAGGTGCCCTAGGAGAGAAAATGAAAGCCGTGGTTAGAGGAAAGAAACACAGGAGCAGATGTTGGGTTCCTCAGCACCCGCAGGCTGCAGCCCAGCACAGCACCACCCGCAGAGCTCCCAGCGGGTGCCTGGCTGATCCAACAGCAATGGGAGCAGCAGCACGCACCGTCCTTCCCAACATCAATAAAGACAGAGATCAAAGGCTTTGTGAGCCCAGCTTCCCCGCCTGAGCCACAAAGTGTTCTAGACTTCATGGCACTACCCTGCCAACACATGCTGAATATCTCAGCAACACGCACTGAGCCCCCGCGGAGCAGAACCCTGCTGCAAACAGCCTCGAGAGGCAGCCGCTTGGTCTGCGGGGCCAGGACCACACTCATCTGGCATCTGACACAGTTGGGTCCTAATTTTTATCAGGGCTGATCAGCGCTACCGATTATCCACAGCATTCATGGTCCAAACAGATCTACACAACATACCTGTGGGCTGAGCTCTGCCCTTAATTAAGGTGCACTAACTGACTCGACAGCTCAGTCCATTAGTAACGAGATTGTGAGACCTCCACGACTTTGCAGAGACACCCCGGAGACCTCACAACCACCCAGACCCCCGGGCTGAGTCCACAACCCTGGAATGCGTTCACCACCCCAGCCGTCACCACTGCTGCGTCTGCGAGACCTCTGACAGCTGCCATCAGCAGCTCCAGCACAGCCTGGTGGCAGCCACAGCCTCCTCCAGGATCCCACCACACGCCCCCTCCAGGATCCCCTCTGGCTTCCCCGCCGTGAGGATAATCCCCTGACTGTGCTGTGTGCATGTGCTGGTTGTTGGGGGTTTTTAGAGCACTGCTGTAATTGTGGCACTCGGGGCTGTGCCACCAGCTGTCACCCGAAGGTGCAGATTACCAGACTGCAAGAGCTTGGGAAAGGGACTAATTTCCATTTTTACAAGCCCCTGCCCTGTATTAATTGGCCTGACTAGACATGTTTACGGCACAGATGACAATAGATCTCTCCAGTCAAGGTTTTGGATGTTTCTTTGCCAAGGCCTCTGCCAAGGGTTTCCAAAAAATAAATTTTATTTTATTGCTGCAGCACGCAGAGGGCTGCCAAAGACCAGACCATGAGCTCAGGCGCTGGAGAGCAGCATGCCTGGCCGGGGAGCCCCCGGGGACCTCGCTCCACGGCAGCGGAGGGCGGTGGACTCAGCTGGATGCACTTGCTGTACTCTGAGCCACGGTCCGTCATCCACGCCTGCATCCAACCCTCCTGTGTCACGCCGAGGAACGGCAGGGAACTCCCAGGCACGAAAACCACAGCGCTTTGTGAAAGCAGCAGTGCCCCCAGTCGCTGCCTCACTGCACAGGGCCGAGCTGCAGCTCCTGCCCTCTCCTGACACCAGCCCTGCTCACCTGTAACCAGTCCTGAGAACAGAAATCACAATCCCAAACCAGTGACTGTGCAAACACGCAAAGGCAGAGCAACCCTGCTTTTGGAAGCATTCGTCGAATGACTCACGTCATTCAAGTACTTGCAGTCGCTGCCAGAGGGTTACGTGCATTCCAGGCTGCAGGCCCACCGCCCCTCTGCATGGATCGTTATAAAAATCAGCTTGTCTAGAAAGGCAGAACTTTCACACCAGACCAAACTCGCAAGTCCCCGCTGTCTGAACCACACTGACGTTACATCAACCTGCTTCACACCCTGCAGGTCTTTTGGGGAGGGGGGAGAATGGCTCGTCACAGAGGTGATGCCTTCAGGTGACACCACACCACCCGCTGATGCGGCCAGGCATGGAGGACACGAAGCCCACTCCTCCTCTCCGTGCCCAGGAGCCCTTCCACCGCCGCAGCCACTGCCTCGGGACCCAGCCTGCTGCCAGCACGTCCCGAGGACCAGCGCTGGCCCTGGCAGCGGGGCTGGGCTCTCCTGCCCGGGACGTGGCACTGGGTCAGTGCTTGCAGACATCCCTCCAAACCAACTCACTTGCTTAGCTCCAGGCTTCTGGTCCATGGGCGTCATCCGTAAGGTTTTTGCCTCTTTTTCGTACTGGCAGTAATATTTCACCCAGGAGATGCCCAGCGCCCCTGCAGAAACACACGGGAAGCCAGAGTCAGAGTTGGAACCTTGGCTGGGTGCAGCTGGCACGGCACAGCCGGCGTTCCCCGAGCACCGCGTTCCTCTGGGACGGACACCACCAGCCCCCTGGGTACACGGCCTTTACCAGCAAGAGCCAGGAGGGGAGGCGAGGAGGAGAGGGGCGCAGGGCAGCAGCCACCTCCTGCGCCCTCCCAAAACGCTGCTGGTGAAAGGGCGTCTGTGGGACTCTGGTTGCGAGCCAAGCTGGTTTGGCCAAGTCCAGCCAAGACCTACGCTGGCAGGATCCTACGTGTCTTGAATGCTAGTTGCACACAGACACCACTATTTCTTCCTGTTGATGAAAACTTGGCAGTAAAGACAACAGCATCTTTAAAACACTCTAAAGTTCCTATTTATATCACACTGGATTTATTGTCACTCTTCTGTGTTGTCTTACCTGAACGTCTTTATATGAAACACTTCAACTGACATTTTTTCTGTAATGTGTTTTTAAACTGCAGTTGTCAGGAGGAACAACTCCCTTCATACTGGACTTGGAGGGGAAACATAAATAGAGGCAGCAGTCACTGGTGTGCAGGAACATGCAGCACCTGTTTGTGGTCTAAAATTCCTATGTGTTTTCTTTTAAAAGCAGGATAAACATACATACAAATATATGTATAAATACATTTGTGTATAGAATCCAGAACCTAACTGCTCCCAAAGCGAGCTGTCTGTGGACCCAGAGGCTCCGTGTACAGCCTTTGTCCCACACTTGCATGGCCATGGAAAGCTACAGCGAGTGTCTGTGGCAGACTGCATTTGGCTTGATTTGATTCCACACAGAATCACAACAAGTTTCGCTCTCAGCAGCTGAACTCCCATTGCAGTTAACACTTCAGCTGTGCTGCGATGCCCTCAGAGATGCCGTGAGAGGCAAGCTGGGCAGGACACGAGACGGGTTCTGACAAAACGCAGCCAAGGTGCGATCTGCCAGAGCTCCGCTCTCTCCAGCGCTACAGTGGAGTAATAAATCTCATCTAATCAGAGCGCAGGGCAATTAGCTCCTTGCTTACACAGCTCATGTAACCCGGAGAAAGCTCCGTGCCAGCGCTGGGAAAGCTGGCAGCTACGGCTGCTAGTGCTTCCCTGGGCACCGCGGGTACTGGCGGGCAGGGACGCCCTGTGCAGCACAGCCCGCAGCCATGCAGCAGGCTCTGGGCCGGGGAGCCCAGGCTCATGGGACCTTTAACGCATTCAGGTGTGTATAAAACCATTACATTTCTCCTGGGTGTACAGATAGCCCTCAATGGTCGGCTGCCCGGGGAGCTTGCAGGTCAGGGGCGCTTCCTTCATCCTCTTCTTCAGGTCTTCCAGCTCCTCCCGCGTGCTGTCAAAATGATTCCTTGTCTGTTAAGGGAAGACAAAAAGAACATTTGAACAGGAGCAAAGAGCAAGCTTCAGGGACCCCCAGTCAAATTTTAGGTTCTCTGGCAGAAATGAATCGGTCTCCCATGTACAAAATGCGGCAGCTACGCCACAAATTCACATGAAAGCTCCAGCTCTTAAGGTGACTGAGGAGACAAGGTTTAAAATACCATACACAGGAATGGTGCTGAGGAGTCATGACTGGGAGGGCACTTCTCTTTCAATAACAGAAACTGAGCCCATTTTCAGGCTGGGTGGAGCAGAAGGAAGCACCTGAACTGCTCTTTGCACCATTGTTTAGGTAACGGGCGTATCCTCTTACAAACACGGGCATTGAGTCCTCAAAAGATCGTGCTGCACTGCTTGGCATGAAATCATTTTAAAGAGTCAGGTCAATCCAGGGGACAAAATCAAGGCATTTTTATGGAGCGCCACTTAGACCAATTAATGAGCCAGCAGCACACTCAGCTTGGCACAGATTTATGGCTGTTGTTCCACGGGAGCAAGGGCCAGCCAGGGCAGACTGAGAATAAAAGAAACAGGACGCTGATATTTTACCCCGTGAGTATTCTTAGCCAGTGGAGGAACTTACCAAAGCATGTAATAAGCCGATACCATTAAGATCAAGATTGGAGGCTGTTTTAGAAGACGTGTACAATTTCAATCTCATTAAATTGGAAGAAATTCTCAGGCTTGTTTATGCACAAGGTTAAATGATACAGTTGCAATAGCCCCTTCTGGACAGAAAAACACTCCCATAGCACCTGCAGGCTCTCTAGTGCAGGAGAGGAGAAAACAGATGGGAACGGAGACAGAAATAACTTTATCTGCACCTCCCACAATGCAAACACAGACAGTCTGTTTTGCATGGAAAAGCCTTGCCACCAAAGGTGTTTCAATGAGGATAGAAGTCACATGCAATAAATAATTCAGCTGGGCAGGAACTCACATTCTGCAGGCTGAGCTGGAGCTGCTGTTTGTACGGGAGGAAATCCTGCGTGAGCTCAACTGTCAGGTTGTTGTAAGTAAAGAGGCTGTGGAGAAAAGCCAGCACCTGCAAAGGAGGGAAAGGACACAGCGTAAACGTCGATATTTTTGATCAGAGGAAAGACAGACAGGAAGTGGGGTCTCAGAAACTACAGATACAGTCATTTTTTTCCTTACAATTTTGGATTGATGCAAGTCTCAGTACGACTTACCCACCGCAATATTCCCTAAAACCCAGGACTACTACCCACACATCAGTCTTAATAAAACACATCCGAAATTAAAGACCCTGCTGGGAGAACAAGAGAAGATCTGCAGATCCACGAGCCCTACTTGATCCCACGCTCACCCAGGTCTGGCACCAGGGCAGAGCCCCCACCCCAGGCAGGGTCCTTGCACATGGCCACGAGCCGTGACAGGTGAGCAGACCAGGTAACAACAAGGTGTCCAAGGCAATTCATAACAAGACCTCTAGCTGCCTACAGCATCCAGCCTGTTCCTCAGGATCGACTTACAGACATGAGAAACAAGCCTGGGGCTTCTGGGTGCTCCAGCAGACACTGCTGAGGCTGTTAAGCTGCAGCAATCCAAGCATGCAAGGTTAACTCCTGCTCCATCATGAGACTCCCCAGGACTGGATCCAGCCTGGTAACTCATCCCTTCCTGCCATGGTCGGCAAGCCAGGATATGTGAGCATCACATAACAAGGCCTGAAAGAAAAGGAAGCTCCTACCGGCTCAACAATGCTGAATTTCTTGCTTTCCTGTACTTCCTGGATCTGGTAGACATACTCGAGGGAGGACTCAAAGAAATTGTGTCTCTCTTTGTCCACCTGAAGGTCAGCCTGGAAGAAAGAGGGAGAGGTGAAAAAAGAAAATACACCACATCTAGCTTGACAATATTTGACTAGCATTTGCCTGTCCTCACTCAAGAAAAAGCCTGCCAAAGGTGTCCAGCCCAGGTCTGGAACGCTTTGCACAGAACCAGAAGACTGGAGCATTGGCCACTCCTCTCTCTTCTCTGGCTCCCTTTCATTTATGGATCCAGAACCTCACCCCACTCTGCAAGGACAAGGCTTTCCCATGGCGTATTTGTTATTTTAGCACAAGCTCCTTCTCCCCCCCGCAGCCCTGCGCCGGTCAGGACAAGGCCACTGTCACGATGCTCTCGCCCGACTCCTGCTGCACCCAAAGCCAGCGCCTGCAGAGCTGCAGCACCGGGGAGGACAATGTGGCATCCTGTGTTACCACAGCTTACACAAATCTTGCTTTGCAAAGATGCTCGTAGGCTGATCTGACAAGTGGTTTGGCAGATCTGATTTGATCCAGCCACTCCGATGTGGGCTGGCACAGCCAGGGCTCCCCGTTCTTGCCGCAGCACCTTTGCCAGCAGCAGCAGCTCCACGGGGTATCCCCCTCCCAGCCCGCTGCAACAGCCTCCTGCGAGCACCGTGAGCTAGGCAGGAACCTATGCTGCAAAACCAATAGTAACCAGTTGTTCTTCTGCCTGATGAGTTCCCTAATCCAGCTGAAAGGGGGGCCAGTCCCCAGCTGTGCCAGTACAACTGGTCACTGCCCTGCGCTATAGGGTGAGAACAAGCGATGACAATGCATAAAGCCACAACTACCGTTCAACACACTAAGGAGAACTACCATCTCTGTTTCCCTGGTCTCATCCAGAGAATCTAGGCTTTAGGTAGATTCAATTGCTTCTCAATTTCAGCTGGTTACTGAAAGGGATGATTTTTCCCCCTCTCTGAAGATCTAGAGCAGCTGGTGGTGTTGCTTCCAGACCCAACTGAAGAAAACTCCACACGCACCTCCTGCAACTGGGATTCCTTCTTTTTGGAAGACAAATGCAAGTGTCGATCCAGCATAGAATAAAACTTCTCACCATCCTTCTCAAACTTCTTCTTTCTTTCCTGTAGATGGAAGAGTTGAAGCAGAACCAGTTATTGGCATTTTCCAGCTAAGAACATGCAACAACGCCAAGATCTTTTGTGCAATTCAGTATTCCCATGGAAAAATCCTGGTCGACCCACCCAGAAGAGGAGGCTGCTTCCCATTTGCTCTGCTTTTACAATGCATTGCCTACGCTGGACTCAGTTACACCTCACGACCAAGCCCTGGCAATACTTCGCGGCAGAAGCACTTGAAGTATTTTGTCGTGTCAGCATTGTGGCAAAAGCCCCAGCATCGAGCTATAGTTCCCCTCTCCATCTCTTCAATGTTAAGTAAACTTGAGACATACTAATACATCAAAAACCTCTTCACCGCTTGCTATGTGCTGTTCACATGGTTCAGTAATAACTGGGCAAATACTTTAACGTCAAAGACATGTCCAGGATAAAAGCTTTGGTAGGAGTTTGGCAATTTCTGTTTTGACGCTTTTGTTGTGTGCTTCTGAAGAGTCTCAGAACGAAAGCAGAAACCAAGAAGGGCGATACGTGGGAGGGAAGTCATCGTCTCTTTGTTAGCAGAGCTCACAAACCTTGCAGACAGAGTGTACACAAGTTTTACTGCGCAGTGCCCACCCTGAGCCCAGCCCAGGGGACACTGCCCCAGACAGAGCTATTGTACAGCACATGATGTGACAAGGACTTCACCTCTCAGGGGACCCTGTGGATGGGCTGGTTCTCACTGACCCTCTACTCCTTGTGCATCACTATTGCGAAAGCACAATTACTACGGAAAAATGCAGAGGCACCAACTCAAACGTCCCTGCCTATATTCACCTGTCCGGAGCAGGACATGCTCAGAGCAGGCAGCTCGCCCCAGGGATTGTCCCACTGCCTGCGGAGACCTGCAGTGCCAGCACCCCTGAAGGAAGCATCCTCTGGTACCATCCCCTGCAGAGCCAGGGGCACTGTAACTCCACGTTGGCACATTCATGCCTCAGAATAACAGCAGATCCATATCAAATCTGGAGGAGCAGAGAGGCCTCCAAGAGTGAAATCTAATTCAAGCAGCACTGCAGCTGGTGCCCGGAAGGACTGTCAGAACAGAACACCCCCCTCGTGACTAACACCCCTGAGATGTAAACCCAAACCCAGAGAAGCAAAAGCGTTGGTGAAGCAGCAATTCCCACCTCTGTACGGTCACCCTTCTGCATTGTCTGCCTGTGCCATGAGATGCCCGGTCCCAAGCAGCCAGTAGCCCAGGCTGGCTTTCCATTCTGCAACAGGAGCTGCCAAAGCCAGAGGCCAGTTCAGGGAGCACCTCTCCTCCTCCAGCACGGCCATGCTGGGGGTGCACAGTGCTGAGCTCTCCCCAGGGACCGGGAACGACGGCTGAGATGGACACAGGTGTGCAGAGCACGGCTCACTCCTGCAGCACTACTGCTGCCATGCGGAAAGGAGCACAGCACAGAGCAGCACTGCTGGCCACTGCAAGGGGACTTGCCAACCATCTCCCACTCTGGCTAATTCACATATAACTGAAAAGCAGGAGGATGAACTACAAATCCCTCCTGATTGTCACGCCAAGGCTTCTAACAGCTTGTTGGCTGCCGAACAGAGCAAGCCAAGACAAAAACTGACACAAAAAAACCACCCAGACTGAAGCGCAATCTGGAAGCATGAACACAAATTAGTTCCTCATGAATATTCAGCTAAGGACAGCATTACCTTCCCACTGACATTTGCCAAGTCCGAGAAGCCACCCAACTCCCATTGATTTGCTCACCGAGAGAAATCGATTCACCCGCGTGCAGGCAGAGCTGCGCAGAGCGAGGCAGGGTGAGGGTGCTCCTCGAAAGCTCTGCTCTCGAAGCCTCGGCAGACGCGGCTGTAAGCTGGAGCGAGCAGAGTCCCCGGAGCAGCACAGGCTGCCCAGCCCAGCGGCTGCTCCACCAGCCCTGCGGCCAGCTCTGCATACCAGTACTGAACGCAAACGGTGATGGGTTCACCGTCACTCCATACAGAAGGAAGCACTGAGTAAATTCAAACCCCAAATCAGTCTGGGGAAATGGCCAGCTGCTGCTGGAGAGGAGCTGAAGGTGCAGGATGGGCAGCAGGTTCTGCTTCGGCTTGCAGCCCCCTCTGGCAAAGGGCAGAAATGGGAAAAAGGGAAATATGTTCACATGGAAAAAAATACTTCATGTCTGAGTTGAACTCATTTTTATGATGTATCAGCAACTAATACAAAAAAAGATAATTTTTAAAAAGTAAAATGCTGTTGAGGGGTGTAGAAAGAGCATTTCTACAAAAGCACACTCAATTTAACCTGGTCTTTTTTTGTCACTCACTGCATTCTCCCAAATGCTCCTTAGATCTTGCTCCCATAGAGACAAAAACAAGAAGCAGAAGTTACTGTCCTCCCTTTCTTTTAAAATTAATGAAATACGAATAACAGAATTAACCAAGTGCTTTTAGGAGTACACGTAATCTCCTATGTAAGAAGTTTTTGAAAAACACTGCACTTATTCAGCATCCCAGAGTGTAGTAAACATTCCTCCAACAGCTCACAATGAGTCCTAACAAGTTTTTCCCCCTCTGACTTTTTTGTTTTGCTTTGTGTTTTCATTTTTGTTTTGTTTTGGTTTGTGTTTTGTTGGTGTTTTTTTTTTGTTTGTTTTTTTTTGGTTTTTTTTAGGAAAAAAACTGTCTCCTTCCAAGTGGAATTGGAATGAAACTTCTTCTATTCAGATCCTCCTAAACTTAATGACTGCAGCAAGGCTCTTGACGAAAGCACCCCAACCCCAGGACAGGCTCGCCCATGCCATGCACGCCCAAAGCCTAGGGCTGTGCCGGGTGGGTGCGGGAGGGACGGACCCGCGCCACCCCGGTGCGAAGCTGCTGCAGCAGCGCCTGAGCTCAGCCCCGAGCCCGCTGCACCGAGGGGTCTGTCCTGTGAGAGGGCGAGGAGGGGATTTCCTCGGGCTGCAGCATGCACACATGGCTCAGCCGCACGGCTCTGCAGATCACGAACATGCACTAAGTACCACCACGCTCCTGGGGGCTTCAGGCCACGACAAGTCCCACCATCCAGCTTTGCATTCCCCCACGTGCAGTGACCCTCCTGCCCCTGCTACTGAGTGTCCCACCACCCCGGCTGTCAATGCAACACGCTGCTCTGCTCCAAACCTCCCGCCCAGGCACGGCTGGACCAGGCACGCCAGGGCAACCAGCTGCTGCCCAACAGAGGTGGCCCAGGGCACAAAACTTGCCGTGCTCACAGCTTCCATGGACCACGTGTGCAGCCCAGCCTCCGTGAATATGATCAAAAGTAGAATGAAAAACACACCAGCCCATGCGCTCTGTCCCCTGAGCGATGCCCGTGCCTCCCCAATACTCCCCATGTCCTCCCCAGCGCGCAGCAGTCTCCATCACGTTGGTTGATGCCACGCTCACCAAACCAGCACTGCAGCCCTGCGCCAGCTCACACCAGCTCTGCAGCAGCTCTGCAGCTTTGAGCAGAACAAGGTTCAACAGCCAGGGCTGAGAAACGGCTCGGATCGGGATCCTGGATCCCCCGGTTTCACTCTTGGGGTCTGCACACACGCACATTTACCAACAAGTCACAGGAAAAGCGACGATGCCTCAGGTCTGCAGCCAGCAGGGGAAGGCGGCTGCAAGGGGGTGGCTGCAGCGGGTCCCTGTGACACCCCTGGGCGCTCCCCGGTGTGGGAGCACACCATCTGACCCAGAGACTCCATTCATCCCAGGAAAACGGGTTAATGCCGACTCAGATGTCTCGGTCAGACTGGCTGGCGGCTCTCCAGCCAGAGTCATCACAAAGCCCCGATTCAGAGGCTCTTCCTATCTGGCTCCAGCATCTCGCACCGAGAACAGAAAACATCTCACAGAAGGCGACTCTGCCAAAATATGGGAAGCAAAGCAGAGGGCACAAATTCTCTGTGTCACGTCTCTGGTCTGATCCACAGCCCAGCCTGGCCTCTCTCCCTGGGTGTAAATCAGGAAGGATCTGCCATAGTCAGTGGAGGTACAGCAGAAGTGGGGAGGGACCCCTCATGGGCAGAGCGCTGTGCGGAGGAGCCCTCGTTTGTATTTCACGCCGCCACCTCTCTTGACTGCTCCTGAGCAGCACCCTGCCGCAGCCCTGCCTGATGCCTGCCTCCGGAGCACCCTGCCCCATCCACAGGGACCGGGGAAGGGCCGCATAAGCTCCCAGGTGAATCCACATCAGCGCTCAGACCCACCTCGCCACAGGGGCCATGGCACCGACCGTGCTGAGACGCGTGGCTGCCAGCCCGGCACCGGCCCCTCCGGAGCAGGAGGTAGCACAGCTCTCGCAGCAGAGAGTGTGCGGGGCTGTGGATAAAGAAATCCTTAAGCACAGTAAGGGCTACTCAAGAAGAAAATGGCCTGAAGGACACTTTAATGCTGTAATCTCAACGTTTGCAGACCGTTGCCCTCTTGACTTAAGTGTTCCATAAACACAGAGCGGAAAATAAGCTTGACCTTGTCCCCACAACTCTTTTCTAACTGTGTGCTGGTCCTGTGGTTAATGTAGATGCATCAATCAGGAGGGAGTTTTCTCTCGGCCCTGGGCACATCCACATGCTCGTAACACGGAGCTCTGCCTCCCCAGCACCGACAGCCGCGGCTGGTCCACTCTGCTGCCGCAGTTTCTCGGAGAGGCGTTCTGCACACCCAGTCGTACTGGGGGATTCTGCAGGGCAGGATGGCGATCAAGTATCGCTTCTCAAATCCTGTATTTATTAAACGTCAAAGACTCCAGATGGGCTGGGCTGAATCCAAGCCCCAAGCGTTCTCCGAAACAGCTCCATTTCTGAGCTGGGTCAGAGCCAGCCCCATTTCAAGCTGCTGCTGAGTAACATGGAACCTGGACTTCTCAATAGCAGACACAGGAAAAATAATCTTTTCTGCTCAACACGTGCAGCATTTGCTTTTTATAGTTTGTTTCTTTAAAAGTTTGGTCCATCTGAAAGACCCATTAGATGCTTTATTGAGTTATTTCATAACAAAAGCCCTATGACTATAATCGAGTTCTGACTGCCAGCCTCTGCTGCTCTTTCTCCCTCCTGCTCTAACACACACTTATCCAGTGAAAGCATTTTATTCTCCATAGCACCGAACAAAGGGGAGAAGAGGGAAAGAAGCAAGGAGTCTCTCCTGATCACCAGTCGAAACAAGCACTCCTCGCTCAGGATGGAGACAGTGCTGGAATCAGACCAGAAGAGAACCCAAAGAATTCAGGAAAAGCTTTTGGAGCCTCTTACAATTGAAAAATCAGACTAAAAGTCACAGCATGGACTGTCTCGTGCCAGAAGCTGAAAGCCAGCGTTACACCGGGAAGTTTCTGAAAGGACGAAGTTGAAACGGAGTGCAGCAATTGCCTACATTTTAGAAACAACAATAAAGTGAGAAAAAATTGAGTTCAAGTCTTACCTTAGTGAATCCTATTTGCTCCTTCCGAAAGTTTTCCAAAGGTTTGATCAGCAAATCACTAGCATTTTGTACCTGCACCCCAAAGAAAGAAACAGTTTAATTGCAGGACACCAATTATTTTTTCTCCTAAATAGAGGCTGAACAGGACTAGGAGCCAAGAACTGTTAGATTTTAACATCTCTGGCTGCAAACTTGTTCTCTGTCTGTAGGTGAAGTCACTCAGACGAGCACTGCTGTGAGCACCGCAGATGCTGTCAGATAATCACAATAAGGGCTCGGGAAGAAGGGAAGCCTGCCTGTGCCTCTGCAAGTCCCGTTGGATGTCTGAAAGATGCTTTCCTGGGACATGCTCTGCTCCCTCTCCATGAATCCACAGGCAAACTCACCCCAGCTTGTACCACTGGCTCCAGCTCAACCCTGGCACTGGGACATGACCTGCCGTCTCTTCCCATCCCCACTTCTCTGCACCAGGCTCTGTCCTGAGCTCCAGAGAAGGGAGAGGGGAAGGGAAGGGGGCACGACACTACACTGCCAGCCCTTTCAGGTAATTAAACCTGATGAGCATGGTGAGAGCGTGATGAGAGCGTGAACCCTTCTGAGTGAGCTACCGTAAAGGACCGGTCCTGCAAGTGGAGGGCAAAAAAAACCACACAAGATTCAGAAAAGTTGGACGGCAACCCTAAAAGCATCCGTAATCCCTTCAGTGATCCCTTCCACCTACTTACCCACTGTGAAAGGAGACATTGTACTTGTATTTGTAATTAATGTAATTAATAAAGATAGATCTTACTGCTTTCCT